GCAGTTCTCTTTGATGGTCATTGCCTACTGTTTATCCTATTTGCCCTTGATAGCTAATGGCTCTCTTTTGCTTTGCTGTTTGGGTTCTATTGAGTAGTTGTTTGCATTGGCTAGCTGTTTAATAATGAAATATTGATAAATATAAAGAAAATGTAAAATATATCTAATATATAAATAAAAAATAATATGCTTGTGATGTATCATCTAATAAAGTTTTACAGTTTGGGCTGTTAGAAGTAATTGTGAAGTAATCTCAAATAATGATTCCTCTTAGATATTTTCTGATTGTCATTCATCAGTTGAGAGGAGGAGGTAGTTGATAATGCTTGTAAAATGGCAATAATAAAACACCTAATCACCCCTAAAATGAAGAGAATTATGCCTAATATAAGAACATAATATAATGCTTTATGTAATAAACTATGTAAATATATTAGTACTCATTTGTCATTAGAGCTTCACATTATAAGTTGATTCCTATTGTAATCAGATCTAGGAAAAAGATGGAAAAGAAGAAAAGTTGGAGGCTGGTAGAGTCATTTGCTAAAAAGAAAAATCAAATTACCTATTAAAGCTACTAAAGCTTTTTTTTTTTTTTAAGTTGGTGGAAGCAAAGAAGGCGGCTTACTGGGTCAAAGACACTGCTACTTAAACTCCCTGTGTCATATTATCATATACTTTTGGAAACATGTGCAATTATGGACTATTTACAGTATTTCTAGATTCAAGTCCTTTCCAGTGATTATTTTTTGGAAATAACTATGTCAAACTAAAGCGATCTAGTATTTGAATTTCTCTAAATGAGATTTTTTGCCATTTCCCTAATTTTAGAAATATTATGATTCAAACTGTTTTGAAAATGTTGTAAAGGCTATACTTTTTCAGTGACTTTGTAGTAAAGTGTACTATTTAACTTTTCTTTATACGGAATGTGGGATCTATGTTCATGAATATTTATCAACTGTAATTTTTTTTTTTTTTTTTTTTTTGAGACAGAGTCTCGCTTTGTTGCCCAGGCTAGAGTGAGTGCCGTGGCGTCAGCCTAGCTCACAGCAACCTCAAACTCCTGGGCTCAAAGGATCTCCTGCCTCAGCCTCCCGAGTAGCTGGGACTACAGGCATGCGCCACCATGCCCAGCTAATTTTTTATATATATATCAGTTGGCCAATTAATTTCTTTCTATTTATAGTAGAGACGGGGTCTCGCTCTTGCTCAGGCTGGTTTTGAACTCCTGACCTTGAGCAATCCGCCCGCCTCGGCCTCCCAAGAGCTAGGATTACAGGCGTGAGCCACAGCGCCCGGCCTCAACTGTAATTTTATTTTGAATATTTATTGTTATTGTACTACAAAATGTTATATCTGATCTTGTTTGATTTTAATGGTTTTAGTTATCTTTAAAAGTCAAAATGCTCTATTGAAAACAGGACTTTCTTGCCTTTTTGCATTATTGACTTTTCAAACCTAACATGGTATTCATTCTAAGATTATTCTAACTTGTCTTATAAATATTTCTGATAATGAGAAATACACTTACCATTCTATATTTCACCTAAATCCCCAAAGACTTTGGCAATAACATAGTCTTCCTAAAAGGCAGTTCAATGTGGTAGAAAGGCTTTCTATTCTTCAGAAATCATTTTTAATTGATATGTGATAGTTATATATATTTGTGGGGTACATGTGATACTTTGATACATACATATAATATATAATAATCAAATCAGGAAAATTGGGATATCCGTCACCTCAAACATTTATCATTTTCATGTGTTAGGAACATTCTAAATCTTCTCTTTTAGCTATTTTGAAAACCATAGTTAAGTTCTTATTAACTGCAGTTGCCCTACTGTGTTATTGAACACTAGGACTTATTTCTTCTATCTAACTATATTTTTGTACACATTAACCAACCTCTCTTCATTTCCTTCTTCCACTACCCTTCTGAGCCTCTAGTAACCACCATTTTACTCACTAGCTCTAGGAAATTAATCTTTTTAGTTCCCACATATGAGTGAGAACATGCGATATTTCTATTTCTGTGCCTGCCTTATTTCACTTAACATAATGTCCTCCAGTTCAATCCAATGATTTTATTCTTTTTTATAGCTGAATAATATTCCACTGTGTGTGGGTATATATACAAATTTTTCTTATCCATTCATCTGTTGATAGACATATAGGTTGATTCCATATCTTGGCTGTTTTGAATAGTACTGCAATAAACATGAGAGTACAATATCTCTTTGATACACTGATTTCCTTTCTTTTGGATATATATCCAGCAGTGAGATTGGTGGATCATATGGTAGTTCTAATTTTAGTTTTTTGAGGAACCTCCATACTGTTTTCCATAGTTGCTGTACTAATTTACATTCCCACTAACATTGTGTAAGAGTTCCCTTTTCTCCACATCCTTGACAGCATCTGTTATTTTCTTTTTGACAATAAGCATTTTAACTAGGGTGAAGTGGTATTTCATTGTGTTTTTAAATTTGCATTTCCCTGATGATTAATGATGTTGAGCATTTTTTCATATACATGTTGGCAATTTGTCATCTTTTGAGAAATGTCTATTCAAATATTTCTTACTTTTTAATTGGATTATATGGGGTTTTTTTTGCTATTGAGTTACTTATATATTCTGGTTACTAATCCCTTGTTGGATGGATAGTTTGCAAATATTTTCTCCTGTTCTCTAGGTTGTATCTTCATTCTGTTAATTGTTTCCTTTGCTGTGAAGAAGTTTCTTAGTTTGATATAATCCCATTTGTCTGTTTTTGCTTTTGTAGCCTGTGATTTTGAGGTCTTGACTCAAAAAATCCTTGCCCAGACCAATGTCTGAAGTATTCTTGGTGTTTTCTTTTAGTAGTTTTATAGTTTCAGGTTTTACATTTAAGTTTTTAATCCATTTTGATTTGATTTTTTGTATATGATGAGAGAAGTTTAGTTTTATTCTTCTGCTTATGGATATCCAGTTTTCCCAGTATCATTGTTCTTTCCTTAATGTATGTTCTTGGCACCTTAGTTGCAAATGAGTTGGCTGTAAATGCATAGATTTATTTCTGGCTTCTCTGTTCTGTTCCATTCAGTCTATGTGTCTGTTTTTATACCAGTGCCATGCTGTTTTAGTTACTATAGCTTTGCAATATATTTTGAGTCAGGTGGTAGGATGCCTTTAGCTTTGTTCTTTCTACTTAAGATTGATTTAGCTTTTCAGGATCTTTTGTGGTTCCATACAAATTTTAGGATTGTTTTTTCTATGTCTGTGAAGAATGTCATTGGTGTTTTGTTAGGGATTGTATTAAATCACTTTGGGTAGTGTTATCATTTTGACAATATTATTATCATTTTAACAATATTCTTCCAATCCATCAACATGACATATCTTCCCATTATTTTTTTTTTGTCTGTGTCATCTTCAGTTTTTCATCAGTGTTTTATAGTTTTCCTTATATAGATTTTTTACTTCTTTGGTTATATTTATTCCTAGGTATTTTATATTCTTTATAGCTATTATAAATGGGATTGCTTTCTTGATTTCTTTTAGATTATTTGCTGTTGACGTATAGAAATGCTACTGATTATTGTATGTTACTGTTGTATCCTGCAACTTTACTGAATTTGTTTATCCGTTCTAAAGATTTTTTGCTGGAGTCTTTATGTTTTTCAAAATATCACGTCATCTGCAAACAAGGATGATTTGACATTTTTCCTTTCCAATTCGGATGCCCTTTGTTTCTTTCTCTTGTTTAATTACTCTGGCCAAGACTTCCAGTACTATGTTGAATAATAGTGGTGAAGGTGGTCATCTTTATAGTGTTCCAGATGTTAGAGGAAAGACTTTCAGTTTTTCCCTATGCAGTATATTAGCTGTGGGTTTGTCATATATGACCTTTAATGTTTTGAGATGTTTTTTCTATACTCAGTTTGTTGAGCGTTTTTATCATGAGGGAATGTTGAATTTTGTTGAATGGTTTTTCATTATATATTGAAAAGATCATTTGGTTTTTGTCCGTTCTGTTAATGTGATGTATTACATTTGTTGATTTGCATATGGTGACCTATTCTTACATCTCTAGGATTAATTTCACTTGACCATGGTAAATGATCTTTTTAATATGTTGTTGAATTTAGTTTGCGCATGCTTTATTAAGGATTTTTGTGTTTATGTTCTTCAAGGATATTGGCTTGTAGGTTTCTTTTTTCATTCTTTCCATGTCTGGTTTTGGTATCAGGGTAGTGCTGGCCTCTTAGAATGAGTTTGGAAATATTCCATCCTCTTCAATTTTTTGGAATAGTTTGAGTTAGAATTGGCATTAGTTATTTAAATGTTTGGTAGAATTTGGGCGTGAAGCCTTCAGGTTCTGGGCTTTTCTTTGATGGGAGACTCTTTGTTACTGTTTCAATCTCTTGTTACTGATCTGTTTCGCGTTGTCTGTTTCTTCATGGTTGAATCTTGGTAGGTGATAAGTATCCCTGGGAATTTATTCATTTCTTTAGGTTTTCCAATTTGTTGGTATATAGTTATTCATAATTGTCTCTAATGATCCCTTGTATTTGTATGGTATTAGTTTTAATGTCTCCTTTTTTCTCTCTGATTTTATTTGGGTCTTCTCTCTCCTTTTTTTTTTTTTTTTTTTTGATCTAGCTAGTTTGTCAATTTTGTTTCTTTTCCAAAAAGCAACTTTCTGTTTTGTTGATCTTTTGTATTTATTTTAGTCTTAATTTTATTTATTTCTGCTCTTTATTCTTTCTTTCCTTCTACTAACTTTGGGTTTGGTGTGTTCTTTTTTAATTCTTTGAAGTAGATCATTAGGTTGTTTATTTGAAGTCCTTCTACTTTTTTTTTTAAAGCATTTATTGCTATAAACTTTTGTGTTAGTATTGCTTTTGTTGTATCTCATAGGTTTTGGATGTTGTGTTTCCATTTTCATTTGTTTCAAGAACTTTTTAAATTTCTCTCTTAATTTTTTCATTGACCCACTGGTCATTCAGGAGCATATTGCCTAATTTCCATGTATTTGTACAGTTTCTAAAGTCCCTTTTGTTACTGAATTTTAGTTTTATTCCATTGTGTTCAGAAAGGATATTCGTTATGATAGAAATCATTTTTATGAAATCTGAGAGAATTCTTCTAAGGCATTTTCTTACTGGCAGCCATAAGTAGAAAAGAGAGGGTGGAGTTTATTAATATAGAGTTAATAATGATAATTTTGACCTGCTTCAGTCCCAGTTTGTAGGTAAGTTATACATACCTTCTCTGGTACCCACTTAATTAATTTAGAAAGTGATAATGATGATACCTACTTCGTAAAGTTTTAAGGATTTTGTAGAGAAAAAAATATATGAAGCTCATAGCACAATGCTTGGCACATAGAACATGCTCAACAAATATTAGTTGTCTTCCATTTCTATCTTAATTTCCCTGATTTATTTTAATTCTGCAATAATTTATAAATTAGTTATGTCACATTAAAGAAAAGTGCTGACCCCATTAAAAATATCCTTAAAATAGTGAAAGTTTCTGTGTAGTAAGTCAAAATAGACAAATGTTTTTAATATCCATAATATATTTGAGTTTAATTTGCTTTCTTCTAATTGGGTATGTGTAGCTCAAGCACTTAATGCCAAATTTCCTTGCCCCTTAGACCCTTTTTTAATATTAGGTTAAAAAGTGGACTAAGCAATCTTTCTATTTATTCTGATGCCTATACTTTTCTAAGATCATATTTGACCTTAAATAGATTTTAGTATAGTGGTATTAGTTCTTGTGCTTTGTTTGTACAGTTAAATATATCAAACTCAGCAATTTTGTGGGGGTGTGTCAGGGATTAGAGAGATTAGTAAATGACTTTTAACTTATATTCATCAAAATATAACTATATATTTTAGAGAGAAAAATAGTAGTCATATCTCTTGAGTTCATGAAAACTTGGCTGATTTTTAATAATTAATAAGTTTTTTCTGCCAGTGAGCATTAGATTACTGCTGAGTTTTTAGAGTCATAGTACCTTGTGGTAGTTTCTCTACAGGGTTTAAAGGTGTATGCCAGGTTTTTTTGTTTGTTTTTTCCTGTCCTGTTCCTAGGAAATCATCCTTACAAATGCTATAAGGAGATTACCTCTAGAAGTTCATAAATGCCATTAATATATTATAGGGATCGGTCAGTTCCATTGTCTTCTTTTGTCAATCTTGATCGGAGCTTGCCGAGTAAGTCTATAAGCCTGCATGTGCCTGGCAACTGTTACCTAGTGACAGTTTCAGCTGCAGTAGCCATTGGCTGTGCTGTTGATTGGGGCAGGAGGACCGAGTCACCTTTCTGATGGTGAGTTCTTCTGCATCAGCCCAGGATGAGGAGGAGGAGCAGGGCTCGGGCTCAGGTGGAAGCATTGATGCTGAGAGATTGTGAAGAATATACTGACAGCATCCTTGTAACTGCTTCACACAGTAAATCGGACTTCTGAATCAAGCAGCCCAGCCTAGCAGCTGATAAGAGTGAATGTAGGTGAGAAGCATTACCTTATTCCTGTAACAAGAGAACTATTTTGTGATAAGTGAAAGTAGAAATGTACAAGGAGAAGTATCCTATGGCTATTATAAAAGAAGAAGGACTTGCCTGACTTGGTGGTGCAGGAGAAAATAACTTTCAGAAGAATGCTTTCTATTAAGCTGCTGCATTGTTCCTGGAGGAAATGTTTTTGTTACTAGTGAATGTTATTTCTTCAAAAGGTATTATAAAAAAGACTCACAAGAGACTCTCTGAAATGCCTTTGCTTTAAAAAAGACTTTGGCAAATGTTAACCTGATATCAGAATGACCTTGGAAGCCTTTTGGATGGATTCTATCCTGCCAGCCTTTCGGTATTTCAAACTCTAGGTTTGAACTCATCTTGATGCTTTAGAGGTATTTTAAAACAAGACTATCTTGCAGCCTACCTAATGCCCCATGTATTAATTGAGCACCTGCTCAAAATAGAATATAGAAATAGAAGAGGCATTTTCTTAACATGCAGCTGCTACATAACTGCAAATATAATAAATAAGGTAAATTTCCATTTTTAGAAAATTTGGTTGAAGTAATGATTTAATGTGTTAATCATCTATTGAAAATAGAAAAGGTATAACAAATAGAATATGAAGCCTACTAGAAATACCAAAGTAATAAATAATGGCAGCATTTCTAGTCAAATAAGCTCAGAGTGTAAAGTTTTTATTGTTTTCTAAATTGCATATATATTTATGTGTATTTGTGAGATATGAGTATGGTTGCAAAGATGAGAAATAACCTTAAGTTATATATTTTATTATGCTTCATTGTAAGGAAGATGGCATGTCAAATAATGAAAGTTATTTTCAGTTATGGATGCCAAATTAATAGTAAAAAATATTTCTTTTCATTTTAAAAAGGAAGAAGTAAAATTTACATTGCTGTTAGTAGCACAAGTAACTGTAGTGGGCTAAAACTGTTTTCTTCTAGTTTAAAATGAATGCAGAATTAAAACTGCAGACGTTTACCATATTTTATCAGGTGCCAATCCATTAATTCATTGTATGTTATCTTCCCTATTGGAAAAATACTTTTTTCTCATGAGAGTCATAGGGCAATCAGGAGTCTGTTTGTTACCCCTATTCTGCTCCTTTGTGCCCATAAAGAGACGAGTCTTTTCATATAAGCTGGTAGAGTTGTTTCTCTTAGATTTAAAAAAAATGAGAGAGAAATAGATCATAAAGTTGAACCACTAGCATTATACCCTGAACTGAGCCCAAAGACAGTCTTTGCCACAATGAACTTTCTCTTAGTTTTTCAAGCAAATCTGAGATCTTACCTAAATTCTAAAATATGAATGCATTTTTCATCATAGATGAAACAGAAAGCCTGAGACAGTTTAAGACTTTTCCTTTTCTTACTCTTTCTAGTTGATCCCTAAGAAACTACCTCTCTCAGGAGAACAAATGCCCCACAGAAGCTTTTCTTCCCTTGGCAATTGATTTTTTTCTTTTTACAGATTTAATTTTTCTTAGTGCAAGATAATAAATCCATTTTTTCTAGAAGTGCCTTGTGTCTGCAAAAACTTCGTTGAGAGCACCAAAGGAAGCTAATCAGTGACCTCTTTTCACCTCCTTTCTAGCTTACCTCTCTCCCTTCCCCCCCAAAGCTGAGGTGTGTCACTGCTGCACTGAGGTTGATGAAGAGACTTGAGCACTCTGGGACTCGCAGCTGTGACAGAAGCACTAATACTGTCTACCGAAGCAGGTTCTGAAGCACTCATGTGCAGCGTTTAATAGATGCTGGGCAGGGCACCTGCTTGCTGTAGCCAAGACTGCAGGTTTCTTTAATTCCAAGCCATGAATGAATCCAGGTGGACTGAATGGAGGATCCTGAACATGAGCAGTGGCATTTTGAATGTGTCCGAGCGTCACTCCTGCCCACTTGGATTTGGCTACTACAGTGCAGTGGATGTCTGCATCTTCGAGACAGTTGTTATTGTCTTGCTGACATTTCTAATCATTGCTGGGAATTTAACAGTTATCTTTGTCTTTCATTGTGCTCCACTCTTACATCATTATACTACCAGCTATTTTATTCAGACGATGGCATATGCTGACCTTTTCGTTGGAGTTAGCTGCTTGGTTCCTACTCTCTCACTTCTCCACTACTCCACAGGTGTCCACGAGTCACTGACTTGCCAGGTTTTTGGATATATCATCTCAGTTCTAAAAAGTGTTTCCATGGCATGTCTTGCTTGCATCAGTGTGGATCGCTACCTTGCTATAACCAAGCCTCTTTCCTACAATCAACTGGTCACCCCTTGTCGCCTGAGAATTTGCATTATTTTGATCTGGATCTACTCCTGCCTTATTTTCTTGCCTTCTTTTTTTGGCTGGGGGAAACCTGGTTACCATGGTGACATTTTTGAATGGTGTGCCACCTCTTGGCTCACCAGTGCCTATTTTACTGGCTTTATTGTTTGTTTACTTTATGCTCCTGCTGCCTTTGTTGTCTGCTTCACTTATTTCCACATTTTCAAAATTTGCCGGCAGCACACCAAAGAGATAAATGACCGAAGGGCTCGATTCCCCAGCCATGAAGTAGATGCCTCTAGAGAGACTGGACACAGCCCTGACCGTCGCTACGCCATGGTTTTGTTTAGGATAACCAGTGTATTTTACATGCTGTGGCTTCCTTACATCATATACTTTCTTCTAGAAAGCTCCCGTGTCTTGGACAATCCGACACTGTCCTTCCTAACAACCTGGCTTGCTATAAGTAATAGTTTTTGTAACTGTGTAATATACAGCCTCTCCAACAGTGTTTTCCGGCTAGGCCTCCGAAGATTGTCCGAGACGATGTGCACATCTTGCATGTGTGTGAAGGATCAGGAAGCACGAGACCCCAAACCTAGGAAACGGGCTAATTCCTGCTCCATTTGAAGATGACTACATAGTAAATCAAATGAAATCTGACAGTAGTTTTGGATCATAGTCTTGATTCATCTGGAAATTTGCCACCATAGAAATATTTACTTGAATAGTTGACTATGAAGTGAAAAATGAGACTACAGGTTTCTTTTCTTTTTCCTTTTTCGTGGAAGAAACTGAAGGAAAGGATGTATAGAGGGTTATTTCATGAGATAATTATAGTATGTGAGTATAATTTTGTAGTAATAGGAAAAATTAAGCAATGAGGATGAAAAATAGTATCTCAAATCTTTTGTAGGACATGAGCAAGCCCCTTGGCATCTCTCTGTCTCTCTGTCTGACTCTCTCTGCCTCTTTGTCTTTTGTTTTGTCTCTGTTTTGCTCACTCTTTGTGTTTTTAGAGGTTATTACTTATATAAATTGCCCTTTATAGAAAGTTGCTACATATTATATATGTGTTAAAGAATAATCTTTTGCATCAAAGTGTACTTTTAAACACACTAATCTGCCATCCATAAGTAATCTCTTCATGGAGGATGTGTAGTAAACATTGTATTTTATTACTTGCCAAACAGCCCCTTTGCTTGTGTTTTAATAATCTTCTCTGTAGCACAAATTACCTGCTACAAACAAATAGAAACAGTATTTTTGTTTCTCTGGGTAAAATGACATTTGCTTTTTCCCCTTTTCCAAACAGCTTGCTATTCCTTTTTTTTTTCTTCTTCTTTCTTTTTCTCAATCTGCATCCTTTGGTACCTTCAGAAGTATCTTAGATAATGAAAGAATCTACTGTATAAAGCAACTATAATGTTAAATAATTTATTCTTTTCAACAAAGCAATCTTGGTAGTCTGTTAAATATTTTTAATGGTTTTTGGAAACATTTTTATCTGGTTCCTTTTAAATTAGTTCATGTGCCTAAAAGTGATTTTTTTTTTTGCTACAGTAAAGCTTTGTTTTTCTTTAAGAAAACCCATGAGTAATTTTAGTGCAGATGAAGAGTACTCACCCAGCAGTGAGGTATCAATCTTAATGCTACTTGGAATGTCCTGTTTTTAAAAAAACCAACAGTAAAACATTAATCTTTCTGTGTTAAGTCTACAATAGCTTACTGCTGTGTCCACTAGTCATTTGTGTGATATGCGTTTGCACATACCATATTTATTACTGCAAAGAAAATGTAAATTATATTATGTGATCTGTGCCTAATGTTTTCTTAGCAGAATATATAGATTGTTGTTATTTAAGTTGTCAACATTGGAAGAAGTATATACAAAAACTTATTTTAAGAGAAAAATACTTTTGTGTAGTTGTTATTTAGATATTTATTTATACTAGACGAAGCTGCATTTTTAGTGCTGCTGAGAATATAATATACTTTATCAAATACAGGTAAGAGCTGTCAGTATTTATTTTGTAATGATCTGTTTTCAGATGCAGAGATTAACTTATTTTTTAGTGTGTTAAATGAGATTGTATAATAAATTGTCAGGGGTTTAGACATAGCAAAGTGGTATTGGGGAATTAGTAGTGAAACAGGTATGAGCAGTAAAACAGCTAAATCTTACTTTTTTACCATAAGTTTCTTGCCTGAAAGATATTTTAAAATTTATATCAAACTACTGAGTATTTTTCTTCTCAGCATTTTTGATTTATTTGTTTTATGAAATGCATTTAATGAAATGTGCCTATAACTCTTCAATTAGAAGCCAACCAACCACGTTTGCACACTGGTGGTTTGACTTCAGAAGTCCTTTAATAGAAATACTGTAATTTTATTGAGGTTGTTCTGAACCCCTGTATATTTTTAAACATGTACAAAAGATTTAAAATAAAGAATAAAATAGTATTCTGCATATCAAAATCAGACTTTGCTTCAGTTTAATGAAACACTTCCTTAGAACAAGAGTTTACTTGTTTGGGAATTACGCTCTATAACTTGAGTTTATATTTATTCTTGTTCCCTGTTTGCTTGACAGTGACATCTTTGATGAGTTGAAGTGTGCCTTTTAAATTCAGACCAGTTCAGAAAAACATGAAGTTTAAGGAAACATACTATTGCTAATTTTTCAGGTGTCATAAAAAAAACCTTCAACATTGTACATATTATTTGGGAATCAGATTTTGATTTCTTTAGTTTAGGGTGTAAGTGTAGTTAGAAAAGACCCAGTAGATCCTGTGTACAGAAATCCTGAGGCCATACTATTGGATTTTCCTCTTCTGGCTTTTCCTCATAATTATGTGCCAGGCTCAGGGTTAAGTTTTACATGTGTTATAACATTTAATCTCACTGCAACCTTTTGAGATAGTTGTGTTAATGTTCCCACTGCAGAGACGAAGAAACTAAAGTCATTTATTCAGAGTCACTCAACTAGTCAGTGGCAGAGGTTCCTGCACAACCAGTTGGCCTTGAGCCAAAACCTGTACACTTCACCTGTACGCTGCACTGTTTTCTCTGCATAAGCCGTCAGCCCTTTGTGCCTTTGTACATTTTCCCTACAAAAATTTCTCTGAGTTTTATTTCTCTTTTCTTGCCCTGAGTCTTTCACTTCAATTCTTTTCTTATGATATCTTTTTCTTTGGTCTTATGTTTCTTTTATTAAAACAGCATCTGATAAGCTCAAACTACCAGTTTAGACTATAATCAAACTGAAACTCTTGATATTACTTTTGTTAATTTTTGTTGTTTTCTTTGAATCGCTTTTTCAAATCTCTATGAATTTCTTTTTGAAAAAAATTTGTTTCTGAAGGGGAAGAGTAGGAAGGAAAGGCTTTATCATAGGTTGAACGAGGCAAGTGCTGGGATTAGGTTCTCCATTTACCACAGTGGTTCATGTGCATCTCCAAGGCAAGCCCCTTAACTTCCTTTTGACGGTTTTTAATGTGTTTATATATAATAAGGTAAAACCTATTTCAAAACTACTCTGTCTTTTTTAGGTTAATGTGTTTTAAGAAAAGGAAGCATAACTATCATTCCCATCATAGTCCCATGGTAATTATCCAGTTTTGTTATAAATTATAGCCAAAAAATAAAATAGTGCTCTATGCTTTTATTATACTTTAGCATTCTATTATTTCTGTAGTTGTTTCTAAAGTTATAGAGTATTGGAAGTCTTTTCATTTACTAATGTATGAAACCTGGGCTGTAATCCAGGCCCTCATAAGCTGCTTGGCCTTATGTAAGATACTGAATGTTTCAAAACCTTAATTTTGGCATTGACAAAAAAAAGCCAGAGACTTGTACCTCCCTGTTCAGCTAGATTTGATCACTAAATGAGATTTTGTAGTCTAAGTGCCCAGCACAGCTCCTGATATATAGAAAGCGGTCAGAATGTTGTGGTAGTTGTTTTATTATCTTTGTGGTGGGTATCATTTTGTTACCATCACAGTTTAAAGGTCACTAATCCCACTTCAAATAGAATTAATTTATTGCACATTAGGTTTTCCTAAGATAGCATATTTTTCTCCCAAATCTGTTTAAACTTAAATTTTGAGTTAAACTCAGATATTTTAAATATAGAAAAGTTTCATAATTTCTGAAAGCTCATTTCCCAGGAATAATTATTCATGAAGACATCATTTGAGATTAAAGATATCTAACCAAAAGATGTTGAGATGAGACAGTCGGGGATTATTCTGAGATTAACCTACCTCCTTGCTTGATTATATTAAATTAAAAATATGTCTAGACATATTTTTCTCACTAGGGTGGCAATACTAGGAAAGGATTGTCCATGTCTTGCTATTAGTCTTTGCATTTTAATTTTCCTCATTTATTAAAATGGAATTTGAGTTATTTTATCATATACTATTTATTATATAAAAGAAAGATTGATTAATAAGCTGATTTGCTCTACAGATACCATTAATTACGTGAGTTTAAAAATAAATGAAGTTGTTGCCTTAAAGGACTTTACTCTGTCCCTCCCCACCCTGGAAGCTAATCTTAGATGGGAAAAAGGTACAATTAAGTAATAAGCAGATAAAAAAGATTAAAATGTGGGGAATCTGCTCGTATAACATTCTGAGCATAACATCACCTATGTGCAAATAGGGCCATTTTGGTGCACAGGAGCATGTGTTAGTGAGTCTATGCTATATTCTAATATGTAGGTTCCTACAGATGGGTTTTTTCTCTGAACAAAGCTTTATTTTAGGATTAAGAAAGATATGTAGAAAATGCCATATTCTATAACCAAATATATAGATCATGAGGAAAACAAAATGGCTAGAAAAGAAAAATTCCCTTTTTAATGTTTCTTATGAAAGATTGATTCAGTGCTAGTTTTACTCTATAATTTAAAATATATAGAACTTACTTTTAACAGTAAAAGTGATTGTCTTTTAAATTATTAAAGGTGATGTAATAGAATTGTTTTGTTACTACTGTTTAAGGGTTTTTTTTTTGCAGTTAGCATTTGTTTCTTTCATAATCAGAAAAAGAATGTTAATGTTTTATTAAGAAGAATGCTGAATATTTTAAAAAATGTTTTGACATTTCACAAAACAGCCTATGTTGATACTACAAGTAACACTATCTAATAATGTTCCAGTACCATCTTATAAAGATAGTATTTATAGAGTTGTCTGACTTCAGTAATAGTTGTTATTTCAGGTAGATTTCTCAGAGAAACTTGATGACCTTCCCACATTATTAGATGTTCTTGACTTGTTTTTGTCTTAACGCGAATGGTTTGAAATGTTACTTGGTAAAACTGAAATGGATCTCATTCACTGTAGGATTTTTAAATGCACCCTGGTTGGCACCTTACAGTACTTTTCACATCTTTAAACAACAAAAGGATGGTCCTGCATTGGGAAATTGGCTCCAGCTGGTGTGTTACTCACATATCCCAGATTGGCAGGATTCTGCTTTCAGTGCCCCATCTCCAATGACCATGTTTAAAACTGTTTTATGGTAACTTTTGTTCTGTTTTTATATATGATTGCCTACAAAGGTGAAGAAAATCACAGTAATAAATTCATCAGGAGGCTTTTATGTCTGATAAATATTTAATATGCAAGGCATACGTGATATCAGTGTACTTTCACTTAATATGCAAGGCGTACGTGATATCAGTACTCCACTGATACAGTAAGTGGAGCCAAGTTAGTTTTTGAGATTCTATAATTCTCAAATTTTTAGATGATAACTATCAAGAAATGTAGTGCATAATGCTAGAATTCATCGAATGGAAATATTTGCTAAAATTCTAAACTGCCAAAAATAATACTTTATACAAGAGTAAGAGAAAT